CGCACCGAGAACCCATGTCTCCTTCGGGCAAGGCGGGGCGCTGGAGCTCGGCTCGGTGAGGGCAGCCCCGCAGCGCTTGCAGAACCTCGCCTTGTTCTCGTTATTGGAACAGCCGCATGTCGCGCGCTCGGGCCATCCTTGCCAGTCGCTCCCCGCTGACCGTGCCAGGCGCGGGAGTCGTGGCCGCGCCACTGACCTCCGCCCCCCCCGTTGCCCCCGCTGCCGTCGCGCCGGGGGTGTCCCATGAAAGAACGACTGAGCGCCGAGCCAGGCTCGCCCGCTGGCGCCGCGCCGTTCCGAAGTGAACGCCAATGATCGCAGGTGGGGAATGCAGTCCGCCGCGCGAGACCTGCGCCAGATCGGCTAGGGGAGGAAGAGGAGGGGGCGGATGAGGAGAAGGAGGAGGAGGAAGAGGAGGAAGAGGAGGAGGATGGGGGGGGAGGAGGGGGAGGAGGAGGAGAAGCAACAGAAGCAGGAGCAGGAGCAGGAGGAGGATGGGGGAGGGGCAGGAGGGGGAGGAAGGAGGGGGAGGAAGGGTTCCAATTCCTCCGCCGCAGCGCAATGCAAGCAAGGCGCCGCAGCGGGGGGGGGGGTGAGCGGTGGGCGGCGCCGCCAGCGACACCGCCGGGTCGGGGCGCGCCCGCGCCGTCTGCGCCCCCCCTGCCCATCGCGCTGCGCCCGTCCGTGACGCGGCTGCGCGGGCCCCCGAGATTCGCGGCCGCTGCCCATCCAGCCAAGGAGCTGGCGTTGCACTCTGCTTCCCGCTGGTGGCGCCACCGAGCAGGAACTGGCGCGCCGGGAGCAGCGGCCGCGAAAGCCCGAGCCAGCCGCCGAGCGCACTGCTGCCGATGCGCCCCCGCTCCTAGCGAGTCGCCCCGAGGCCGCTTGTGATTCGGCCGAGCTGGCTGCGAGGTGCTTGACGTCGTTCTCCTCCTCGGCCGTGGCGTCGTCTTCGTTCTTGCCTGGCTGCTTAGCCCAGAGAGCCGCCGCTGCTGCGTTCTCTGTCGGCAGCGCTGCTGGCGCGGCTGGTGGCCCGGGCGCTGGCGGACGGTCCTGGTCCACTTGCGCTTCTTGCGGGCCTCCTTCGCAGCCGGCAGCACCTGCTTCTCGAGCTCCTGGACCTTGGTATCGACGTCCGCCGTGGCCTTCGCTGCTTGCTCGCAAAGCTCGGCTTGATCTTCGGCGATGGCGTGCGTGGCCGATTCCTCGAGCTCGTCGAGGTCCGGCGCCGAGGTGGCCTCCCGCGCGACGGTGGCGGCCGCGGCGGGGCCCTCGCCGGCGGCGCTGAGGTGTTTGGACTCGCGCCAGGGCGCGAGCGGATGGGTGTGATTGTGGCTGTGCGTGCCCTTAGGGGCCTGCCCGACAGCGCGCTGCGCCCAGTCTGGCAGCGCGCGCGCCCCGAGGCTGCGGCGGCGAGGGGGAACGTCGCAGATGTCGCACCTGTAGAGTGGCTGGCCGCGGCCCTTAATGGCGAGGACCGACTCATGTTCGACGAACTGAAGCGGGCGCATCCTGGGGCCGCCGCTTCCTCTCAGGCCCCCGCCCCCAACCCCGCCCTCTTCTCGCCCGAAGGAAACGTTGTGGATTGGGGGGCTGCTGACCTTTCGGGATCTGATGTTGTCATGGACGGTTCAGCCTTTCGCCTCGCGATTCGCGCGCTTTCCAGGGCCGCGAATTACTGGGTTTTCCTGGGGCCATGGGATGCAATCGCGGCTTGCGCTAAAGGCGCGGATCTTGGTGCCGCCTCCAGAGAGTGCCAGCTTCACCGTGGGCATCGGCACGCAGGTCCGCGACGTGGAGCGCATCTCGATGGGACGGGGCCCGTGCCCGCAGTGCATCATGCGCCTGCTAACCGCAGCCGTGAAGCCATTGACGCTTGATCCGCGCACTACTGACGCATCGGAGCCGGCAACTAGAATGCGGGCGTTTGGGCCTAGCAAGCTCTCCTTCTTCACCCCCTCCCACTGCGCATGAGGCCGAGGTGGGCGCGCAGTGTGACCAGTGCTTGTGGCGAGGGTGGCCGGCATTGCTGCCTTCCCACCCGGCGCGTTCGAACGTCGCCCGAAGGATCTGAGGGCCAAGTTGTTACATCTGGAGTTGACATGTCTAGCAATAACTAGGTCTCGGGCGTGCCCGCTGCTTGCACCGCCTCCAACTCTCCTCGGGTGTGGCGGAGCGGACCATGTTAGGATGTAAGAGCCCAAACAACGCCTGGCGCGGGATCCTTGACCGCTCTTCGGGCCACTCCTTGGCCCGCTACACCGTTGAAAGATGCAGCCGGCAATTGCCCTTTTTTTCCGGCGCGACGCGTGGAGCATGCTCGCCCGCGCGTTGCCGCATGCTCGGTCGCAAATGCTCGCGGAAGAAACTCTCTACTGCTCAAGCGGCGTTTCGTCTTAATTTTCAGGGGTCTACCCGCGCCACCGTGACAAGTCCACGGTCTCACGAGGCGCGGAATTGCGTTCTTTCGTCATGCTGCCCAGCAGCAACCACCTCGCGATGTGAGCCTGCCAGCCTCGCCCGCTGGTCAGATGCTCCAGGGATGGTGGCGTTGCAGGCTCGGACTCAGGCTCGCGAGGCAGCGGCGGTGGCAAGGACTGCCGCGCCGCCCCCGAGCGGTGCTAGTCGATGAATCGTCGCGAAAAGACGCGACGCGTCAGCGTTTTGCTGCTCCAAGCTGGGAACTATGTTTGACGATGTAACGGACCAGTCCCAGATCGCCGGTGGAAGCTCTCCGGCGGGTCGACCTGGTGGCTCGGGAGAGAGAGAGAGAGCGCGTGAGCGGCGTCCAGCAACGCTCTGGACTGGGCGGGGCCTGCCCCGTGCGGGACCCTGGCCTTGCGCAGCTCCGAAAGAGATGCGCGCCAGGAGGCCTCAGACGCTGCCCGCGCTGCCGCTGCTGGCGCCGCCTTGCGGCAGTGGCTGGAGGTCGTTAAAAACATACTCCGCGCCAGGGATTCCTCAGTGAGGACTCCTCACGAAGGACTCCTCGATGAAGATCCCTGCGTAAGGATTCCTTCGTCAGACTTCCTGCGGCTGCCGCTGGCGCTGCCGTAAGAGGCCCCTTGCCGCTGCCGCCCTGGCGCTGCCCGCGCCCCTCGGCCGTGGACTTGCCGCCGCCGCCCCCCCGCGGTGGCGGCCGTGCCGTTCGCGCACGCGCGCGCCATCGGGCGGAGGCGGCGTGGCGGCGCGCGCGCGAGGTCGTGCCCCTGCACCCATCGCACCGAACTGTCTTCGCGAAATCGCACCGGCAGTGGTAGCCGTCGCAGGAGACGAAGAGGCAGGCCGCCCCCAGCTCCTGCCGCCCTGCGCCGGGCTGCAGCAGAGCGTGCGCGGGCACGAGAGAGAGAGAGAGAGAGAGAGAGACTGCTCACCCGCAGGCCGCGGGGAGCAGGCAGGCGCAGGGGCGGACCAGCAGCTGCGAGGAGGAGGAGGAGGAGGAGGAGGAGGAGGAGGAGGAGGAGGAGGAGGAGGAGGAGGAGGAGGAGGAGGAGGAGGAGGAGGAGGAGGAGGAGGAGGAGGAGGGAGGAGGAGGAGGAGGAGGAGGAGGAGGAGGAGGAGGAGGAGGCGGAGGAGGAGGAGGAGGAGGGGAGGAGGGGAGGAGGAGGAGGAGGGAGGGAGGAGGATAGGAGGAGGGAGGGATGGAGGGAGGAGGAAAAGGAGGGAGAGGAGGGAGGGATGGAGGGAGGAGGGAGGGAGGAGGGAGGGAAGAGGGAGGAACAGGAGGATGAGAAAGAGGCGGAGGAGCAGGAGGGGAAGGAGGAGGAAAACGGGGACGCCCGAGGAAAAGGACCGAGGAGGAGGAGGAGGATGAGGAGGAGGAGGAGGACCGAGAGAGGAGGAGGATTCCGCAAGATTCGCAAGGCCTGGGCGTCAACGACCAGAGAAAATAATGACTGCGGCGACGGGTGTCTCTTCCCCCCCCTCGACCTGTTTGGAGAGGAAGAGGAGGAGAGGAAGAGGAGGAGGAGGAGGCTGAGGACGACGAGAATAAGGAAGGGAGGCGGGAAGAGGGAGGGAGGGAGGACGGACATCAGATGAGATGAACACTTCGGGCGGCAAAAACAAAGCAAGCCAGCATGGGAATGCAAGGATGAAACCCGAACCCCATGATGGGGGAGGGGCGAAATCCCAGGACACTCTTACGTCAGCCTATCCTATCTTACACACGTCGTAGGTCCAAAGCCAAGGCGGGCTCCAGAACCTTGGCCGACCCTTACTGATAAGACGGGCACTGGCTTTCGCCAACATGCTTCCAAGCGGCATTGGCGCGGTAGGATGTGCAGTCATCACTACACTGTGCCTCTAAGTTAACAGGCTGACCATCGATCGTGTAGCTTCCACAGCTGCTACATCTTACAACAAGTCTGTCATCAAAAGCGGTGAGATCGGATATATATATATATATATATATATATATATATGTATACAACGTGTGACCATTGGGGTGACAACGTATCTAGCTCCCTCAACCGCTCTAGGAATCCATGGCATCTCCCTTCAGGCGCTGCTGTGCAGAGGGGTCGGACCGCTCCCGGGCAAGAAGAATCACAGCCCTGGCCACATACATGAGATACTCACAGAGGGCCTTGCTTTCAACAAAGGTCTCTTCTAATTCCTGGCTGGAGGGACGATTATGGCTGAGGAACCCCGGCTTGTTTTACGACAGCATCCGCCGCCGCGTTCTCTACAGCCATTCTCCATTCATCCGAGCCCCGGTATAGATTCGCATGACCTTTGGTCTTCACGACCCCCGCGTTACAAGCACGCCTACCAAGAGCTAGCAAGTGTAATCCTGCATGGTAGGACCTCCTGTTGTACAGCTTAAGCGGTGGGAAGGGGGAGCGAGGAGGGGAGGAGGACGAGGAAGCGGAAGAGGAGGGAGGGAGGGAGGGAGAGGGAGGGAGGGAGAGAGGGAGGGAGAGAGGGAGGGAGGAAGCAGCAGGAAGGGTGAAGGCGGACGGCGGCGACGGCGACGGGGCGGGCGGGGAAGGGCGCGCTTCGCCACGGCAAGCCCCTCACCGTCTCCCACAGGTCCCTCGGCTCGGGCAGGCCGGGTATCAGGCTGGACTGACACCTCCGCGAGGGGCAGGGGGAGGGGGCCCCAGGCCCCTGGCGTCTGGAGCAGCACCAGGGCGGAGGTCACTCCACAACTCGTCTGGGATGAAAAACGCCGGCAGGGGACAACGGGCAAAGACAGGTACAAAAACAGCACGGCATCGGGTGTGGAGCGGAGAGGGTCGAGGCACAAAGCGTTTGGACGCTTGGGCTCTTTTGAAGCCTTGGGAGCCCCCCCGGGAGCCTCTGTGGACCTCCAAAACCTCTCGGGGTCTTGGGGTACATTTCGGAAGAGAAGAGGGGTAGGGAGAAGACGAAGGAGGCGAGGAGAGAAGGAAACAACAACGATGTGGTAACAATCCCACAAGCCGCGTGGGATTACTTGGTTTAGCGGACTCGTTCCTCCAGCTCTCGTCCTCCACTTCGGGTAAAACCCCTTCCCCTAACCCCTCCCCTGGGTCTGGGCGGCCCCCACCCTCCCCTCCCACACCCACCTCCTCCCTTCACGCACTCTCCCCCCCTCCCCGCCCGCTCCCCCCCCTCCTCCACCTCCCCCTCCCCTCCTCTCCCTTCACTCCCCCAAATCCACTTCCCCGTCACCGTCCAACCCCCCGTCCCCCGCCCCCCCCTCCCGAATCCCACCAGCCCTCTGGGCACACCCTCCCCCCACCCTCCCCCCTCCCCTACATCTTGGCGGTCTGCCCCTCGACGCGTTCCCTGATGGCTCCAAGATGTTCCTCCTCCTCCTCCTTCTCCTCTGCCCCCTCCTCCTCCTCCTCCTCCTACTCCTCCTCCTTCTCCTCCCTGCGCGCGCAGAGTGCGCCCATGAGAGAGCGCCCATGACAATGTCCAAGATGGAAGAGGGCTGTGCACGGTGGCTTCCAGCATGCTCCAGCAGGCCCCAAGACCGTTCCGAGACGGCCCACTTTGGCCACGGAGCCTCCCGAGGACGCCGGGACGACCCCCGTGCGGCTCAGAAGTGGCCACGGAGCGTCCCGACGGGGCGCGGATAGGGCCTCAGCGACCTCCAGATGGCCCCCAAACGGCTCCAAGATGGCTCCAGGAAGCTGCCAGAACGAGAGGTCCGCAATAGCAGTTATGGCTGAATCGTCGTCGTCGTCGCCGCCGCCGCACTCTTTCCAAAATCCTTTGCTTCCTCCTCCTCCTCATCCTCCTCTTCCCCATCACTCCCATCTCCTCCTCCTCCTCCTCCTCCTCCTCCTCCTTTTCCCCATCACTCCCATCTCCTCCTCCTCTCCTCTCCTCCTCCTCCTCCTCCTCCTCCTCCTCCTCCTCCTTCTCCTCTGCCTCCCACCTAAAGTGCACAAAAAACATTGAGTGGGAGCGCGATCCGTGAAACTCGCCTGCCCTCCGTTCGCGCTCCCTCAGTCTTAAGACTTCTACGGCACGCTGTGCACGGGGCTCCTCGAGCAGAGACGCCTTGCTTTACAGAATTCGCCTACTGCGCTGCCGCTTTCTGCGCAGATTTGCCTCGGACCCAAGGCCCCGATGTTCCCGTAGCGACCCGATCAGGCCGACCCTCGGGGTCGCGGCTGGCGTCAGACATGCAAACAACGCAGCAGCAGCGCTTCTTCACCTTCTCTGGCAACTCATGGGAGCCTCCCATACCATCTCTTTGGCTCTTGCGCATCGACGCAAATCGACGCAAAATCGGCGCTACCTCATCGACTCCCAGACGCTAATCGACACTAATCGACGCTAAAGACGGCATTCAGAGAGTATACCAAACTCCAACGATTTGCTACCAAACTGCACCCGAATTTGAATTTGGTCCGTCGTGCGTATTTTCCTAAGGGTCTGTTCGCCAAGTCTTGGGCCGATGATGCCAACTATCGCACGGAGGGCTCGAGGAAACAGAGTTGCTAGCCTCACCGATGCCGCCGTCAATTCTTCCCCAATGATCCCAAAGACGGTCTACGCCTGTCGGAAAAATCACTCGTTCTGGCTTTGGACCGCGCCCTCGCGGCCGAAACCGCATCCTCCCTGAGAGCTGCGGGACTGCAGGTCGAGAGCCAGGGGGCCGCGGCGGCTTTAGGCAGCGAGCGGGGCCCTGACGGATTGCACAGAGCTGAACGGCCCCGACGCAGGAAACAGCTGGCCAAGCGGCAGGCGTCCAGACTGGCCAGACTCGCAGGTAGCACAGCCGGCGCGCGCGCGGCGCGCCGAGTGGTCACCACGGGGTTACACATCGATCATGGTGATCAGGACCCTGCCATCTCACTGCCGTCCGCCACCGTTTGCCCTCTGGTTTGAGCTCATGTCGTCTTCCGCTCCCATGCGCCGACGAGCGGCTCGGGCCTGGCCGCGGGCGCTCGAAGAAATCCGAGAGGCTAAGCCTCAGCAGCGGTGGCGGAAGAACAATGAATGGCGCGATGGCGGGAACGATTTACGTGCTTCTGGCCGCGGGCTGGGGCCCAGAGGGTCCTTGGCACTGGACCCACCCTTGTGGTGACAAGTACGCGGCGTCAGAAGCTGCTTTTTAAGGTGACCCCGACTGGGAAGAGTTGTTCGAGGTGTTGAGACGATTGATATCTGCCGCAGCATGGGGAGCCTCGCGAAACTTGGGGCGGACAAGTGGAGAGGAGCACTTAGCACGGTCATGTGTGCAGGATATTGGCCGAGGGATCGGCTTGAAAACGCATGGGTGAAGGTGGATTCCAACGTTTGTCCGAGGTGTGGCCTGGAACCCGAGACTAGAGGGCAGCACATCCAACTAATGGTCACCCCGACACGCGAAGCCGCTCAGCAAACGCGCCCACATGATGAATCGAACAGGGCAAGGCTGTTTAGTAAATGCCAATTGTCGAGGTCCGGGTGGTTTCTCCTCCCTTGAGAGACGGGCCTGCACCGCTGCTTGGGCTGCGAGGCGAACGGTCAGACCCCCAGGGTGCGAGGCGACCCAGGGGCTGGCCAGCCGGGCCCTCGAAGGGGCCGCCCGGCACCCATGCTGCGGGCTCCCAGCGAGCAGTCCCACGGGAAGGGGCTCGGCTGCCTGAGCCACCCGACGCTCTCATGATCGAGCTCGAGCCCGCGATCCAGGTGGCTTCCGCCCGTGACGCCTGTGCTGTGCGCGGCACCCTTTGGTCCGCTCCGAACCGAGGGGCGGCCTCCGGCCTGCAGGCGACGCCCCGAGAAGCCCGGGCTCTCGGGCCGCGCTCGGCTCCGCCGCGGCTCCCGGGCGGCTGCCTCGGCGGGCGAGGGCCAGGGCCCCGGGGCGCCGAGCTCGGTCCAGGCGTCGGGGGCCTTCGGGGGCCCGTTGCCAGGGAGGCGGCAGGGGATCAACCGAGGCGAGAGTCTTGCTTTGAAGGAGGTCCTGCAGGCCACTCCTGGCCGCGATCTTTCTCATGCTGCCGATAGCGCCTGCGTCGTGAGTGGGCTGTACAATCTGAGATCGAAGGCCTGCTGGAGGCTAAGGCAGAATCGCAATGTGTGGAACCTTGTGCGAGAGCCGACGGGGAGCCGAGGCGTCCAAGCGAGGTCCGACGCCATGTCTCGGAAGACCTGCTGGAGAGGTGCCGCCCCGAGCAGCGCGCGCTTCTCGCTGTCAGCGACTTGGCTGGTAAGTCAGCTGAGAGGTTCTGCCCTGATGCCCAGGTGCCTCCAGGAACTGCCGAATCTCCCAAGGGGCTCGAGGCAGAAGCGAGGGTCATTCGGAAGCGGCTGACTTCCATCCTATCCTGCATGCCTGCCTCCGCTGGAGCAGGGGAGAAGGCGGCGGCGCAGGGAACGGCCAAGCAGAAGCTCGCCCTGCCAGCGGCCGGCAGAGGCAGTGCACCTGCTGAGTGTCACGGGGTCGTGGGGCTGTCGCCGTCGCCAGTGGCACCGTCGTACTTGTGGTTCGGAAGCCGCCACCGGGTGCAAATCATCAAACATTCCAGGGCTCCGCGCGCCCTGCCGTGCCCCTGGACTCGTCGCGTGAGGCGGGGCCTCGTAGGCGGGGTGTCTCGGCCCACCCTTCTCACAGGATAGGGTGGTGGGAGGCGGGGGTGGGCACGCAGAAGGAACTGATGCTCGCCTGCTCGAGGTGCGGAGGTCTTGGCACACACCACCCCTGCTCGACTGGCAAGCTTGCCATGCGAGCCTCCCACACGTAGTGGGCTCGAGTACTTGAAGGATCTCGGGAAAGGATGGGCTCCAGGCCACACGCAGCTGGCTAAGAAGGTCAACGTCCTGCGGTGATCGTGGAGGGAGAGCTGCGCAGAGCTTAATCGAATGGCATCCTGATTCAACACGGCCGCCGCGAAAGAATATCGGTTTGATCCAAAACTTCGCTTTCGCAACTTCCCCCTCGCCCCTCCATGGAAAACAAAAAAGTAGCATGGCATGTTTTCTGGATGGGCTGATGGGGATACGTCAAACACCCCGCAATCGCGGATAAGAGTGAGGGGGCGGCGGAGATGTCTAAAGTCTTCGAGGCTCTGAAGAAGCCCGCCGCACGCGCCTAATTGCTACAAATTATACAACGGTCCCGCCGCAAGCGCAGAATTTTCGTTCAAACAATGCGGGTGGGTCGAGGGGTAAGTCGCGGGTGGGTCGCGGGTGGGTCGCGGGTGGGTCGCGGGCTGGGACGCGGGTGGGTCGTGGGCGGGTCGCGGGGTGGGTCGTGGGGTGGGTCGCGGGGTGGGTCGTGGGGTGGGTCGCGGGTGGGTCGCGGACCAGGTCGCGGGGGGGACGACGCCAAACAACAAGAAGGTTGACACGTGACCTTTTGTTGCCCGTTCACCGGGAAACTTGTTCAATGCTTGTCTTGAAAAGACAACCCGTGACCTTGCCCCCCGGGAGTAAGTACCCCCCCCTGGCAACCAGCAGCCAGCAACCTCGGGCTCCATGTCTCGCTCCGCTGTAACTTCGTTTGCTTAAGGGTGTGAACTCCTCCGTCATGCAATGTTTCCATGTCTGCACCAACAAAGTTCCTGAATCGATCGGCTCCTACATGATCCTATAGAAACCTATAGGATTCCTAAAGGATCCTATATGGATCCTACACGGATCCGATGC